AACTCCCCACACCCCCCCCCCCCCCCCCCTCCAGATTTATGGAGATTTTGCAGTTTACACATTAAATTTCCCAGCAATTCACTGATTATGTAGCCTGTGAGGCCGGGGCTACATCTGTGATGCCAGGGCTACATCACCAGTGCCTCACACAACCAGGAAGTGGGAAAACAGCAAGTGTCAGTAAAAGCAATAAAATGTTTATTTAACTAATCAATGTAAGATTATTTCATATCGGCATGTAGAGAAGCAAGCTGATGTGATTTTTAGTGCAGGGGGGGGGTGAAGGTATATTTATACCTTTTCCTAGCCTGACCTAACTGAACACACCCATAACTACATCACTACATTTTATACCTCTTAAGTTTCATTCTGAGCTGCAGTACATAATCAGGTATAAGGGCACTCAAATTTCTGTAATCCATGCAAATATAATTGGACTAAATTTCCACCTCTATTTTGTTTATAAGCTAGAAAGTCTATCAGAAATAATACCCATCACAGCAAACAATGCAGCATATTATGATACCAGTACAATATGCTTTTACTATCTCCACATGGTAACCCTGTGTACAGTGTCATAACATCACCAAGCTGGATACCAAACAGCTGCTCTAAAACATTTTACATTCTTCTTTATATGTTTCTCCATGTGCCAACCACCTACAAGTCATGAGAGCCTCTGAAAATCGTTCAGAAGCTTAGTTACTGTTAATGAACACGGGACCTCTGAAATAGGAATTTTCTGTACATCCAAACTTTCATTCTAAATCTAACATTTTCCAGAACAGGTTTTAATCGGACTGGTCGGAAAGGGGAAGTAAAAACAATTATTTTCCCGGACACTTTAATTAAAGAAAAAAAAAAAAAAAGGCCCTACCTTCACAAATCCACACTTATCTACTGATTACTACCAATAGTAATATAGAAAATAAAAAATAAAAAATTTACCTCATCCTTTGGCTCTCGGAAAGAAGACCTGGAGCTTCCAGTCCTCCTGTAAACACCAGACTTTGTTTCTTCATGCTGACCAAACAGTTCCTCGATTGTCTTTGTATCAATTTGGTATTGGTGCTGCCTAGCAGCCATAGTCCAAATGTTGGTTTTCCCCCTAACCTGCTCCTCAGGGATGGTTTTCCAGAAGAAGCTCCGCATGCGTTTCTTCTTGTTGTGACCATGTCCATGACTACCATTATGCAGAAATGGAGGAGCCCCAGGAGGGGGAGGAGGTGGTGGTACAGAATGAGGAAAAGGCGGTGGAGGAGGAGGTGGCGGCGGTGGTGGTGGCGGCAGTGGAGGTGTCAATGGGGGATCTAGCATTAAGTCTGTGATGACCACGCTGCAGTCACCATTTTCTTTATCATTGACCAAAGAGACACAGTTCATAACATGCATCTTGGTGCAGGCCTTTCTTCATATGATGCATCACTGAGAGTGGAAGACTGTGCAGCAGAACAGCATTCTAGTCCAAAGCTCGACCCAGCATTATGTGGCTGCTCTAAAACCTGAAAAATGATCATTAAAAAAATTAAACATGCAAGTTGAAGTTAAGAAATAGTAAAAGGGTTGTAGAGAACATCTGTTCATGCATTACAAGAAGTTTACAATAAAAAAATAAACATACATTAATTGAATGTGTTCAATCAACAATTCATTTGATTGGTCAATGTGCTGCTTTTTATAGGTTTTTTTGTTGTTGTTGTAATTAATTGTGGTGAGAAAGTGAAGATAAGCAATACACTAAAAAATAACACAACATAGTAAAAATTACCAAATGATTAGTGTTAATAATAAATATTTGTAGACAGTAGTATCTCATAACTTGAGCCCTATAGACTAGAAGAAAGATGTAAAGACTTGCCATGGAATGGTAGCAAGTTCAACCCCTAGAATATGTGGTGTCTGTATCGAGAGATCCCATGCTCCTTTAGAACAGATGCTGAAAGGAGGGAGATTGTTGGAATGAAGTTTATATAATTTAATATGGTTTGCAAGTTGCAACCATTCTGTATTTTTTCCTTAAGCCCAAATCTAGGCAAACTTTTTTTTTTTTTTGGGATCAAGTAGGCAATGGTCAGATTCTTTTGATGAATGTGCATGCATCTAATGACAGTGAGTGTTCATGACACAAAGGAATTAAAACTTCTCTAATGGAAACAGAAAATCAGCAAGAGTTTCTTTTTTTAAGTAAACATAGAAGGGAAAGAACTTTTGTCAGGTTTTTACTGCCGTTGGGTTCTTCCTGCCCCATTGACACCTATTACACCTATTGCTTGTCCTGGTTTTACAGAGACAGGAATAAAAATCTGACAAAAGATTTGTACCCTTAGCTACTAAAATTTTAAAAAATAATTGGCTAGAGATAGGATTTAATAACTGATCACTTATAGCAGAATGTGGGGGGGGCGGAAGGACATGGAGACACTATAAAGGCCTCTGACGATAAACTTTTTCATGCTTCAAAAAAGGTTTCCATTCCCATAGATTATGATTATTATTCAGGATTTATATAGAGTCAACAGTTTGCGCAGCACTTTATAATATAAGGAAGACAATACAGCTACAATACAAGTCAAGACTTTGACCAGCTCTACACATCGGCTTGAAAAAGGAGGTATTGCCTTCGAAACGCGTCGCCAGCCCGAACCTAGGACCTACTGAGTGTTTCCAACACTCCATCTCTGCACCGAGCTAACACCTCCTGATCTTTGGGCTCCGTCCCCTCCTTTTCTCCACACCTTCATCACCGGCATCGGAAGCTGACAGCTGGAGGACACAGACACGCCGGACTGTCAGGAGGCCCCAGCGTGCATCCACCTCCTTCCGGATCCACACACACCCCCCTTACAGCAGGCATGTCACAACACAAGGGGATATCGTAACACCCCGGCAGCGGCACTGCCCACCCTCCAGCACCACGTCGCTCCCCAGCGCCGGACTCCGCAGACGTCCAGCAGGACAGCTACGCCAGCACTCATTCAGATGAACATCCTACAGCCTTCCATCCAGGCACTACAGGAGCTGCACCTTCGTCGTTGAGAGCCAGCCTTCACTTTCCTTGCGGTGAGTTACAGAATCTCTCCTTTGTTTTGCTCACCAATCTTATCTCACCACGTTTATGTCTCCATCTGCTCCACCTGGTTATACCACTACCCCACCCATCCTAAGAGGGGCCGTCTCCCGCTACTGCTCCACTCCATCTCACGCACCTCACCCCGATTGCGAAAAGCGAATTATCAACCTACCATAGGTGAGTACATCACCTTTTCCCTCTCACCCGGCTTCACCACATTTATTGCGCCAGGTAGTGGCGCTTCCGTCTCTAATTTTTGTTTCCTTTTAGTACACCTGTTGGACACCACGGTCCGAGCACCACGGAAGCTGCACACCCGCAGAGCAATAAAGACGCTTCAAATTTCTCCGAAAATAACACACCACTCTCCTTCAAACTTTCTATAAAAAAAATTTCCTCCCGCTCTAGTCACAAACGGGGTACCCACCAAGTACCACCACTTACCCCACCTCTGACGAGCGCCATACATGGGGTAAAACGCTTTAAAATTTTCATGCAGTTCTAATGCACCTGTCAAATTCTTAATGATCTCAGAAACGTCCCAAACTGATGTCATCGCTCCAAGAACACAGGAGAGGATCTATGAATAAACATCACCTGAAACACGGGAGTTCAGTTTGGAAAAGTTTTAACCCTTTTTCCTAATGAGGTCATTAAGAGTTGGGGACTTAATTTTAATACCTCCAACACAGTGGGTTGGATGGTTCATGATGACCCAACCATTTAATACAAAGATTCTGCCTGTTGAGGCCAGTCAAAGAGTTTTCTGAATGTATATTTTCCACTATTAGGAAAGCTTACAAAACAAATAGTTACCTGATATAACCCTTCGTCTGCCTAAAAATCCAAGCATTCACTGTTTTGTTGGTTCTCTAGCAGCATAAGAGGTGACAGGGACGCCTAAAAGTTGTTTGAAAGCGGTTTTCCATGATGTCAGTCTTTACATTTGTTGGAAACAAGAGCTGCCACTCCTAGGTAGCACTTACACATCCTGGAAACCTATCCGCTACAATGTTTCCCTGTCACTTGCTATGAGGCCAGTAAATACACAAATGTGCCAAAACAACACACACACAGCTATGGGAGTATATTGCAGGGACTACAACCGGCTGCGTTCTGTATGCTGTAAACAATCTTACCCATTCCTAACTACCTTCCCCTGAGGGTTCTGGTGATGCAAGCCTATTTGAACTTGGACACGTGTCTTTATTCAACTGATTGTGAACGCTGCACATCATACAGTGTTACAATCCAGGAGATGTTGCTCGTAGTGACTGCAACAGATGACGCCGTACAAAACCAGATATTTGAAGACAAGTCACCAGCACTCAGCAATTCGACATGCAAATAAAGTTAGTTTTATTGCAAAGGACGTCACATAGGTCAACAAGCCAACATTTCAGGGCAACGCAGGGTCCTTCCATAATGTTACTTTGTCACCTTGAGTAAGCGACCAGACATGACTCCAAAACGTTGGCTTGTTGACTTATGCGACAATTTGCAATAAAACAAACTTTTTCTTTTTCAACGTACCCGTATTTGCCGCCGCATAAGGCGACTGGGCTAATAAGACGACCCCCTACTTTTTCTGTTAAAACATAGGTTTTCGGCAATACTCTGCAAAATAATGTTTAATTACACCCACTAACCTCCATGGCGGTATTCCCGAGTGTGGCTCGGGGTTAATTTTCAGTACCATAAGCGGCAACTACGAGCCACACTCGGGATTACAGCCTCTTACCTTGTCCATGATCCCCGCTGTGTCCTACGTCTTCCGGGTTCCTTCCCTTGCGAGCGTCCGTGGCGCAGGGGGGCGGAGCCGGCGGCAATTTTAAAAGTTAAAAAAAAATCAGACTGCCAGGGAGGCTAATCTGTCAGCCCGCTGGATGTGCGGTAATACTGTATGTACGGTAGCTTCGGTTACATACAGTATACCACGCTAAGCCAATCACGGCAGGCTTTGTATGCATTAATACAGGCTTTTTATTAATGCATACAAAGCCTGCCGTGATTGGCTCAGCGCGGTATACTGAATGTAGCCGAAGCTACCGTACATACAGTATTACCGTACATCCATACCCGACGTATAAGACGACCCCCGACTTTCCGGGTAGGTTTTGAAGTCTAAAAACTCGTCTTATACGCCGGCAAATACGGTATGTTATAGTGCCTAATTCCCAAACACCTACAACCCTTCCTCAACCGTATCTTACATTTGATGTTCAGACCTCTAGAAATAAATGTACATTCACATGCCAACTGCACTACATTTTTCATCCAGACTCTACACCATTGATTTTATTTTCAGCCTATGCTTTGGTGGAGCACCAGTGGGTTTGGCATGCATATAAGTATTTAAAGCTTCACCTTATTTACCAACATCCACTTTGCAAAGTGAACAACCTCTATACCTTGAATAAATCAACCACCGTGTACTAAATCTTTGTAATTTTTCATTACACATCCTGGAAATAAATGGGAGCTTTCTGGAATACAGCTTTGAAAAACAGACACCAAGAAGGTATCAGTGACTATATCCTACTGATAAAAATGTAGCTGCTTAGACACGTACTTATGATTCATTTTCAGTTGTTTTAGCACTTTTCAGTTCTGCCTTGATCTAGGTCTAGTCGATGATGTATGGTTATTGGCTGCCCCAATATCACAGGTGGAAAATTCTTGTTTCAATGAGCAGTACAAATGCATTTAAACATCTGGCCATATACACTTTCATCCTGCAAATGAACTGTACATCACAAGATGTCAATCTTCGTCATGCTTTCTTTGTAAAAGCTCTCTTCCCCTTCATGTGTGGTCACACTTTAGGGCTGGTTTTCTTAGGGCAAAGACAAATGGAAGTACATAGGAAATGTAACATAAGGGTCTACACTAACCTCCAGAGCTCAGAGGTATGCAAACCAAGCAAATGAGATTTCAGCCTGGACACCTAGGTAACAAAGTAACAAGCCCACAATTGTCTACAAACAAACAACCCATCACTGTTTATGGCTTCTTTAAACAGATATTATCACCCTCCAACTAACAGTCTTGATTACATGTATCCTGTGTAAACTGATGGTCTGTCCTTTGTCATTGAAACACTTTAATTACTGATGGCTATCTATTTGCCTAATGATGGAACTATTACCGTACAGACAAAAACAAATACAATTCACCTGTTGTTTTCTACACAAAGCTACAAACACTTGAGGTAAGAGGACAGGTGACATATCCCCCTACTATAAAATTCCTTCCAAAGAAAAATGACTTCCTACACATCAAAACAGACATACAAATTAAATTATACAGAATTACCATTGTCTATGGGTCACCAGAGTACAATAAAAAGGAGGATACAAAGAGTCTGGCTGAGGATGAAAATGGGTGGATGCGGCAATATAAAAGCTCTCCT